ATCTGAGACCCATCTACAATAAATCACGACCATATAAGACGCTTTGCCATCCCCAAGATGGGCGCGATCGAGCTTTAGCATTAAGGAAATGCCCATAGGGGAAGTACTTTCCCTTATAGACTTGCGCTAGAAGAGACTGGGGCTCAACTAAGATTCGCCAGCCGATTTTGGCTAAAAGGGCTTGATTGAACTGCTCAAACCGACGGAAACCCATACCCCCCTCATGCTTACTCTTGCACATATCCCGCCAGGCCATCCACCTGATCCTCGAATGCCCCTCCTCATCACCCCACCAAAAGCGAGCAACATGTTTATCTAGAAGACGACACAAAGAGAAAGGCATCTTGAAACAGGACATCACATGCAATGGTAAAGCCAAGGCAATAGATTTAATCAGAGTCTCCTTTGCTGCCCAAGACAAGGTCCTCCGTTTCCACCCCTGGAGCCTTTCCAACAGCTTCTCCTCTAAATACCGAAAGGTCTCCATCTTAGAGCGAGCAATCAATGTAGGAAGGCCCAGATATTTATCCTGCACCCCAAGTGCTCCGACACCTAAAATCGCAGCTAAGAACTCCTGATCGGGAACAACAACATTCTTACTGAAACAAACCGCTGATTTAGCCAAATTAACGCGCTGCCCACTTAGTTCCTCATATTCATTAAGTACGGTAATCAAATTCTCACACTCCTGCAGCGTGCCCCGCAGGAACAGATAAGAATCATCGGCAAAGAATAAATGTGAGATTCGGGGAGCACGCGGTGCCACCTTAACCCCTGCCAATCTCTTTTCCTCAATTGCTTTACGCAAGAGAGCCGCAAACCCCTCAGTGCAAAGCACAAAAAGAAGAGGGGATAAGGGATCACCTTGCCGCAACCCTCGCGATGGTCTGAAGAACCCAGATGGAGTACCATTCATCAGCACAGAGAACGCTGAAGACCGGAGACATTCATATATCCACCCCTGCCACAATGTGTTAAAACCCATCTTGTCCAAAACTGCAAGAAGAAACGGCCATTCGACTCTATCATAGGCCTTTTCCATGTCAACCTTAAGAGCCATGTACCCCTTCTTACCTTGCTTCTTGGTTTTCAAGTAATGCATTAACTCATGCCCAAGGAGGATGTTCTCAACAATTTGGCGATCCCGAATGAAAGCGTTCTGGCCTGAAGACACAATGTTAGGTAAGATCCCCGACAATCGTTCAGCCAAGATCTTAGTTATGATTTTGTACACAAATTGGCATAAACTGATTGGGCGTAACTGCCTTATGGATTCAACATTATCCACTTTAGGGATCAACGTGAGCCAAGTGTGGTTGAAGCTACGGAGCATCCTACCCGACGTAAAGAAAGAGCAGACTGCGTCAACCATTGAGTCCCCCACAATACCCCAAAAGGCCTTAAAGAACTTGTCCGTGAACCCATCTGACCCGGGGGCTTGCTTAGCACCCATTGCGAAGACAGTTTTGCGCACCTTGTCCGGGAGGACAGCAGCCGTCAGGCCCGCATTCATCTCTTGAGTAACACTACGGGCGATAGGCAAAGCAGCAACACGCTCCCCCATATTCATAACATTGTTCTCCGAAGTAAACAAATGGTCATAGAAATTGGTAGCAATGTCCGCTTTACCCTTTTCATCAGTAACCCACTCGCCATTCTCATCTCTTAGGCCTGCCACAAAATTCCTCTTACGACGCGTTCTAGTGACTGTATGGAAGTAAGAAGTGTTTTTATCACCCTTTTTCAACCAGTGGACTCTAGATTTTTGCTGCCAGTATACTTCTTCCGCATCCCACTGCCTTGTTAACTCCACTTCCAGACACCGAACTGCGTCCCAATCGATTGGGTGCATCAACTTAAGCCGCTCAATCTCACTTTGGAGAGTTCTGATATTCCGCAGGGAGTTAGTGGTTCCTGCTCGACTCCAATCATACAATAAATGACGCAATTTCTTTAGGCGTTCCCAAAGGCGAAACATCGGGGTACCCTGGATATCTTCCTGCCAAACATAAGAAACCATGGCCTTCACCTCCGGGTTCTCTGCCCATCGAGCATCAAAACGGAATAGAGGGCGACTATTCCGAGCATATGGTTTATCAGATAGGAGGAGCGCCCGCTGGTCCGATCCCTGATCCGTAAAATGCTTGACCAAAGTATCAGGGAAGCGGTCAATCCATGATTGTGAACAGAGGCCTCGATCCAGCCTTTCTCTAACACACGCCGCTCCCATCCGTTTATTGGTCCAAGTGAATTGGTCCCCCTGGAACCCAGGGTCCAGCAGGCCCAAATTCTGGATAAAATTACGGAGACTTAGAGCTTGTGCAACATTCCATTGATTTCCCCCATCCTTCTCACTCTCATGGAGAGTCGTATTAAAATCGCCTAAAATAACAAAGGGGATTTGGAGACCAGTACAGATGTCGTGGAGCTGGTCTAACTGAGTAGCACGACGAGTTACATTGCAACTAATGTAAACAAAGATCGCCACATACGAAAAGCTCATTTCATTAACTTGAACACAAACACAAAAATCCGAATGAAAAAACACCGAAGCAGCAACTTCGGAGGCCCAAGCGACAACTAACCCACCAGATGCATCAACCGCATCAACAAAAAAACAACAGGAAGACTCAAAACCTAACCCACGCAAACGGCGGGACACTACTCTCCGTCTCGAACGTGTTTCCGAAAAAAACACCAGATCCGGTTTATTCAAATGAACTAAACCAACAGCAGTTTGGAATGTGAGTGCCGGGCCAATTCCTCTTACATTCCACGCCAACAACCTCATTTATCTGGCTGGGGCCACTCAAGGCTGGCTTCCTCCACCTGATCAGCATCATCTGTAGCTTCAACAAACTGTTTCTTCGGAGATGGGGGGATGCTCAGGTCACCCCGTACATGCTCCAGCAAGCGTTTCCGAGATCCAATAGCCGGGTGCATCAAATTCGAACCATACTCATCCAATCCCAACTCCACACTGCCCTCATGCCCATCCTGAGCCCCCCGAGGAGAACTAATTTGACTAATAGACATTATCTCTAAAAAAATAATGTATACTTTCCCACTAAAAACTTCTCTATTTCAAATTTGGTTATCACTCATGATTGCATATCATTATAAAATCTCCCCCTACGGAAAAAAAAAATCCGTTGCAGTCTTTCTTCGACCTTTTTTTCTTCTTTTAACTTTGTGACGTTCTATAAAAAACCATATAAATAAGCAATTTTCATTTTTTTTCTTCTTTTAGCTTGGCCTAGCGGTAATACCACTAGTCTAGAACTTGGAGGTCCCAGTTTAGAATTCCTGAGTAGTACCTTAATAACAAAAATGAAACCTAGATCACCCTTATATAAAAGACAAATTATGCAAAATTCTATTTCCTAGTAATGATATGGGCCACATAGTGTTTACACAATTATAATAGCTATTTGTTAATGGGCTAGTTTTAAGTGATCAAATTGAGGAGACTAACACTAATCAATACTAATATGGGTTCACCGAGTGAAAACCACATATATATATCCACTTTGGTTTTTATGGAAACTTATGGTGAAACTTGTATATAAAGTAGTTTGAGATTGTGGTATCCAACACACCAAGACCAAACATTGCTCTCATCCTCTCATTATGAAGAAGGTCAGAGGTCTTCCGAAAATGAAACTAAGGAGGCTTGGTAGAAAAAGGCCGCAAAACTTCCCGGATCGTGCTCTTAATAGTATAGTTCGTTCATAGTTCATCCTATATTTTTGCATAAAAATTCAGATGATCTACATCATGAATTCTGGTATCACTATCAACTTTTGATAATATTACAAGATGATATTCTAGGGAATTACATATGGTAAATTTCGTTTTATACATTAAAGTCTAGGCTTTATCCATTAAAAGTTAGGTTATAATATCATGTGTCAAATTCAATTTTGATTCATATTCTAAATAGAAATATCTAACTAGTAGTACACAGAATATCGTATACTCCGAATGAATCTCTATATACTCCAAATAATCTGGAGATAGAGCTAATCTGTATATAGGACGACTCCTATATCATTTAGCTACTATATTTATATCTTTTAAGGCTGAAAAAGGTTATTTTAGTTTAACCATGGTGAGACTACATTCATACTTTTGGACCTTGTTCAAACCTCTAGCTAGATTGTAAGCCCAATATATTTAACTATTTGAAGTACAACTTTAATTAATAGGTACAGCTAGCTATATTTTTTACCCTCTAAGATTAATAAAACGATTCATATCCATCAATCCAATCCAATCTGTCCACTAAAATATCCAACTAATTCAATTAATTTGATCCAAGTCTAATTGGATTGGAGGATTCACGATCAATCCATGAATCCAAATGGAAAATTACAATTGAGTAACTATATTTTTCTTATTTTACATTTTGGTACGTAACATTAATTTTCTTAGAAAAATATAATTGAAAAATTACATTCTGGTACCTAAAAAATTTTTATTATGACTTTTTAGTGCCTAAGTTTTTCAAAGTTTACATAATGGTCCAAGATTTGAATGTCATTTGGATTATGAGTCAATCCAACAACCCACTTGATCTATTGATCCACCAATCTACAAATCCAATTCATTTACTACTTGTAATTAAACGGTTAGACTCGGTACCAAATTTGAACTTACACTCGAACCAAAATCCCCCTCCATACACTCTTTAACTTAGAATTTTTTTTTTTTTTGAATATACGTTGGTTTTATTCTCTTCCCATTTATTTACATAAAATAATTAGCGGGCCCATGGCTGCTATTGTTCTCTCTATATATATACCGCATCCAGCAGCACATAACTGGATCCCAAGGCTCTCACCCTTCCACCTCTCTCGAACGACACTCTCCATATCCCCATTACTATTCTTCCCATATTCCTTGTCCCCCACTATATACCTCTCTTCTTCTTCTTCTTCTTCTTTCCCCGCTATAATACAACAACAACAAGAAGAAGAAGAAGAAGAAAAAGAAACACTATGCCATCCAGACTAGCCGATGCTTTTCGAGCCCATCCAGTACACCTCCAACCAAAGCACCTCCACGACTTCACCTCCCTAAAAGAGCTCCCGGACTCCTACAAATGGGCCTCCGACGAGGACCAATACCGAGCCCAGCCCGACCCGGCCCACCACGAACCGGTGCCCGTGGTCGACCTCTCGGACCCGAACGCCCTCGAGGAAATCGGCCATGCATGCAGACGGTGGGGAGTGTTTCAAGTCGTCAACCATGGAGTCCCCACCACCGTCCTCGACCGCATGGAGAACGTCGCTAAAGGTTTCTTCAGCCTGCCAGCTCACCAGAAGCTCAAGGCGGCACGTTCCCCCGACGGGATCTCCGGCTACGGCTTGGCCCGGATCTCCTCCTTCTTCCCCAAGCTCATGTGGTCGGAAGGGTTCACCATGGTTGGCTCCCCATTGGAGCATTTCCAGAGAGTTTGGCCACATGATTACACCCAGTTCTGGTACCACTCTTTCTTCATTTTTCTAACTTTCTTTTGTCTCTTCTTTCTTACCATTTGATTCCACTAATGTCAGGGCTCCACTTGTATTCCTGTGCCAAAAAAGTCATTTTCCTTTCTATTTATTATAATAATTGCCAAGAAAATACAATTTTCATTTCTCATATTTATCTTTTGTTACCAAACCTTTTTTTTCCAGCATTCTTTGTTGTTTTGTGTCAAAACTAAACAAAATTTGCTTTATAACACACCGAAGGAAAGGAAAGGAACCGCTTTTATTTAATATGCTTAGCCGTAGTGATCGATGATAAGATTGAATGATAATTCGTTGTTCTATTATGGACCTACCCAAAAGAGGACAAAATTTAGGATTAGTGACCGCATTGGCCCCCATTCGAGAAACTAAATGCCTTTTCTACTGTGTTTGGAGTCTTATTCCCCTCTTGTTGGCCTGCCCACCTTACATTTTATACCTTTTACTTATGCCTCTTTTTTTCTTCTTTTTCTCTCGTGTCATCCAGTGACGCCGTGGAAGAGTACGACAAGCAAATGCAAAAGCTGGCACAAACGTTGATGTGGCTAATGCTTGGTTCTCTTGGGATCACAAAGGAAGATTTGAATTGGGCTAATAATAGCAATAGCACCACCACCACCACCCCAAGAGGTGGACCAAAGAAAGAGGTGGCTGCTGGCTCCTCCTCGGCTGCAATCCAATTGAACCACTACCCGGCTTGCCCCGACCCGGATCGAGCCATGGGTCTCGCCCCACACACCGACTCCACCCTTCTCACCATCCTCCACCAGAGCAACACCAGTGGGTTGCAGGTGCTGAGGGACGACGGGGCCCGGTGGGTCACGGTCCCTCCGATTCGAGGCGGGCTGGTGGTCCACATCGGCGACCTGCTCCACATATTGTCCAACGGGTTGTGCCCGAGTGTGGTCCATCGAGCCGTGGTTAACCGGGATAGGAACCGGATATCAATTGCCTACCTGCATGGCCCACCTTCGAACGTGAGAATATCGCCCGTGCAAAAACTTGTGGGGCCAAGTCAACCTCCACTCTATAGGGCAGTGACTTGGAATGAGTACTTGGGCACAAAGGCCAAGCACTTCAACAAAGCACTATCTTCAGTAAGGTTGTGTGCTGCTGCTCCCATAAATGGATTAGTTGATGCAAAAGATCAGAAGAACAATAATAATGCAGTGAAAGTTGGGTAGCTAGACAACACAACTTTTCTTCCCATGAGTAAAAATCCAATTTTGTCCTCTCTTTTGTTTTCCCCTTCGTTTCTTTCTTCTTCCCTTTTCCCTTTTCCCTTTTCCCTTTTCCAATTTTGTATTTTGTTTGTTCGGTTTGTTTGTTTGTATGCAGAATGAGTTATGGATGTATAGTTCTCTTAATATTCCTCCCAACTTAGTCTTGTGAGAACTAACTTATATATGCAATTACAAAAACAATCTTACCCACCAAATTTATTAAGTACCATATACCATATATGCATGTGGAGAGTGACCGTATATGAGAGATTGTAACTTCAGAGTTTCCGACCAATGACGACTAAAAAAGAGAGAGCAAGACTGGAAGTGCCGGTGATCCATATAGTCCCTTGAACAACTTATAGCGAAACAAGAATTGAGATTTTATATGAAAACATAAAGTAGAAGTTGAGAGGATGTAAAAAAAAACACAATGGAAAATGATGATGAACTAGTAGTATAATAATGGGTATTATTATTGATATGAAAAAGGGAGTATAATGTGTAGTGTTTTGTCTGTCTGTTTGTATGTTTGAAGAGAGAAGTTTGTGGAATTGAATAATTTCCCTCAGCACACATGACACGCTATAATTTTTCAATTTGAGCCAATCAAATATTCCATTGGCTTGTTGATTGTCCATCATCCCTTTGGCTAACAACATGGTACAACTATCTAAATTAGACAAGATTATTTTGTATTTAGTACAGAGTGACAATGAGAAAAATCACAACCTAAAAATTAGACAAGATTATTTTGTATTTAGTACAACATGTCTTTGGGATCATGTTATGTCTTGTGCTGGTTTTGTGGGCATTTAGAATCGACACAACTTCGTTCGTGACACCTTATTGGAAATCTGTTAAGTCAGAGATTTTTGCCAGTAGGGAGGTTGATATCGGTGTGGTTGATGGGCATGGCAGACCCCTTCGTCCTGCGGATTTGTTGTTTTATTCTTGGGACACGGGGCGAGATGTGTGTGTCCATTTGAATAGGTCTTCACCTCTGACTCAGACTGGGATGACTGATTTTGTGGTTGTCCGAGTTGTTGCTGACGCTGCTCAGTGGAAGTATGCCAAGTATCGGGACTTGTGCATGATGGCTGGTTACGGTTTTCTACCCTTTTCTTTTTCTTTGTTGGGAAAGTTGGATACGGATGCTGTTGCTTTGCTTAAGCGGATCTAGAAATTCTCCATGCTCAGGATGCGTAGGCTCGGGTGACCGCATACATTTTTACTAGACTTAGCTTTGCTATAGCTAAAGGAGTGAGGCCCAGATTGTATCTCGGCTACCCACTAAATTTTTGTAAATTTTTGTTGTATCTACTTTTATAATAATAAATTAATACAAAAAAATAATGATAAACAATAAGTATATTTTTTGAATTTCTAATAACCAATTAGTAAAAGACGGTAGAAGCAACAAAAGATTTCCAAGGCGAATAAAAATAAGAGTAAAAGAAAAGGTAGGGCCAGGAAGAAAGACAGATAATAATGCTAAGAGAATAATAGACTGATCCATATTTAGGAAAATAATAATAATTAAATAGACGAATATAAATAATTATTAACAGGAGGGAAGAACCCTGCCTCAATCATTACTCCAATCAATAATCCAGTATCACAGTACGCCCCTTAAAATCAATCAGCTCTCGAAAGCTGATAATCTTTCTTTTTTCATCCTATTTAAAAAGGTTCCAATGAAAATCTGTAAAAAAGGATACATAATTAAAAAAGATTCGACGGATAGGTAGACGATTCTGCCAATTGCCAACGAAGGGGACAAACCATTGATGGATGATCAGAAATTCCACAAGTCGGCATTCCCTCATCGCAAGAATAATTTATAATATGAGAATAGTAGGCAAAATTCAATTGCATAGTTATAATTATTAATAAAATGTTCAAATTTTATAAATGACAAATTTAGACACTTTCGTTAAAAACATCAATGTCGTTAGAGATTTGATCAGCTACATTAACAAGAAGCTGACGAAAATACCACCTGAACGCACACATCAACGACAAATCGACATGTCATGCCACGTGGATAGGGGGCGAGATTCCTGGGATAGGGGGCGAGATGTGTGTATTGATCTTACTGGGTCTTCCCCTTTGACTCAGACTAGGATGACCGATTTTGTGCCCGGCCGAGTTGTAGCTGATGCCGCTCGGTGAAAGTGTGCTAAGTATCGGGACTTGTGCATGGCGGCTGGTTACGGGTTCCTGCCCTATTCTTTCTCTTCGCTGGGGGAGTTGGATTCGGATGATGTGGCTTTGCTTAAGCGCATCCAGAAATTCTCCGTGTCTCAGGATGCGGGGGCTCGGGCGGCCGCATACATTTTCACTAGACTTAGCTTTGTTATCGCTAAGGGGGTGGGATCCCAGATTGTATCTTGGTTGCCCACTAATTTCTTGTAGACATTTTATTTTTATGCCACTTTGTATTGACACAAAAAAAAACTTTTATTGTAAAACCTATATATCACTAACTATTGCTTTTGTGACAATAAAAGCAAATTTCACAAAAACACACAAAAGGTCTAATTTTGTCCAAAACTTTAACGGAGTCATTTTAGATACTAACTGGACTAATGTTTTTGTTGGCATGGCGACATTTGATAAAAAAATATTGCCTAGTGGAATTAACTAAGAAAATAAAAGATAATAAAATCAAATAGAAGGGCCATCCACCTCCAACTTGCCCAACCCCTTCCCTTCCTCCAATCACCCTCAACAACCCCTTTTCACCTCTTCCAACCGTATTTGATTGATGGCTCCAAGCAGATCTTTCTCTATCGTTGATCGTAGAACCGCTCAGGAGAGGGCAACACTGTCCTTGACGATCTTCACCATAACTAGAATCCCGGCTTCTTCCACCAACAACGACTGCGGTAATGGAGCGTATTTTGCAAAAACGTCGGCAAAGCAATCAGTCAGGTACGTCGGTGGGCTTACCAGGGACTCAAAAATGAAGATAGTGGGGCTAGAAGAAGAATTGGATGGATAAAAAGGGATTTATAAAAATATTTTTAATGAAAATATGATGTACAGTCCATATGGCATGACATGTCGAGTTGTCATTGACATGAGCGTCAAGGATGCATGCTCATCGACGTCTTGTTAATGTAGTGATAGAATCTAATGGTGGTAAAGTTTTCAAAGGCAATGGCTAAATTTGTCAAATATATTTCCAAAATCTGATTTTTCTTTTGGTATATTTGTGAAATTGGCTATAAGTGTGACAAAGTTGATAGTTATGACTATTTATGTGAATTTTGTTAATTCCACCTCACAATTTTTGTTAAGTATCCCGAAGTGAGCAAAAAGATTAGTCCAATCAGAGTTAGTATCTAAGATGAATTTGTTAAAGTTTTGGAAGGAATTGGACATTTTGTGTATTTCTGAAAAATTAGCTATTGTTGTGACAAAGTAGATAGGTATGGCTATATATATGTATTTTGTCAAAAATATTATAGGTTTGATCCTTATTGGTTATGCACTACTTTGTTTATTTAGCTAGGCATCTGGTTATTCTAGAAACAAATTCCATTACGAGTAAGTTTGGATCAGTGAATGTATCAATGAGAATCAAATCCAAACATTTTAAGTGTGCGATTTAGCTCAAACAACACGTTTGGGAATGAATTAGAGATTTTAATGAGAAAATATGAGAAAATTAAAATTACAAATTTAGTAATTCGTAACCATCCCTTTCTGCACATATGCGTCTATTTCTTCTTCCTCCCTCTCATATGCTTGTCTGAGTCTAGTTACCACCATCTGAACCAAAAATCAATCAATATTCGATCGGATCTGGAGAGGAGCTGATGAACCCAACATGCATGATCTCTCTGTCGCCAGAAATTGCCCACATCCGGGTCTTCCATCGACATGAGAAATTGCCCACATCTCTGGCATCACTATTAGTGGTGCTTGCTCCAGCAGTTGTCTTCTTCAACTGTGGGGAGGGAAGCGTCGGGAGTGGTTGATATACCATTATTTGCACATATTTTGATCACCATTCTTGAACCATTTGAGAGTCGATTCTCGTGTTTTAAGTCGATTTCACGCTAGGTTGTGCGTTTATGTCATATTTCAGGACTTGACGTGGACATGGAGGCGTGAAAGCGAGTTCCAGGTCAAAAAGTGGAGAGTTAGACAGAGAGAAGCTGGAGGGCATAAATATCCGGTCAGGCACGGTAATACCGATTGGGTAAAAGCATTTTGGAGGCCGGCGAAGCAGAAGGGGTCCTGACCGTGAAGCTCAAATACCCGATCGGGTATTCTGACCCTAGATTGGGTATTTCCCCCGTGCTTAGAGCGATGCGTTTTAAAATACCCGGCCGGTCTCCATTAATACCCGATTGGGTATTTGGGCCGGGTTTCGGGAGCTGCTCCTTTTCAAGCGAAATTGGCCTCTTTGAGAGGGATCCGAGTTTTAGAGAAAGAAAGCATAAAACTAGAGAGAGAAAACGACGAACAGAACCTCCAAGTGCCCTAGATCGAGATTCAACACCATTGGAGCTCGATTGAAGCTTGGAGAAGTGTCGATTGATTACCATAAGCCAATTTTCATCCTTCACAGAATGATTTCTGCATCTGAAGCTGATTTCGCTTCTCTCTATATGGAGTAAACTCTCTCAATCACCTAGGTATGAAGAACCCTAGATCTGTATGTTATGTTTGATTGTATGAACCCAAGTACATGTTCTTTGACATTGATTATATTCAATTGAGGTATGGTTTTCTGAATTGCATGAATTCTGATCAAATTCATGTAGTTCCTGCTTTGACCTTGAAAGAGCACCCTTAATTCAAGGTGGTGAATTGACGACTTTAGTCGAGGAGTCAATTCATTGTTCTGTACTGGATTATTCCAGTAGAGGAGGTTTTGCACGTTAGGGCCTCAGTTTGTTTACTACGGTGGAGGTTAGTCGCTCGCTGGGTATTCAGATTGAGAG